TTTTTTTGTATTTTGTTTTATTTGGGTTTATTGTAAATGTATATTTGTGTGGCAGGCATCAACAGCAGAAAACTGGAGATTCATGGTCGACTTGGGATAATCTGCCATGCAATTTTGGAGCATAAACCCATTGTTAATGTGGATAATATAGGTCCTCAGTACCAAATGTTCGAGTAAGAGATTAAATTTTGAAGTAATTTTTTCTTTAATTTTTTATGATCTTGGAACTAAGCCCAATTAATTATTTCCCTAATTATGTCTCCCTGTCTCTAAAGTTTTTGCGACAAAAGCTCAGAGGAGATTAAGCAGTTTCTTCTACAGTACTGTCTGAAGCAGATTTTGGAGGATTACAATATGATTCCAGATCCAATGTCCAACTTCTACGATGCCCTCTGTGTCGGAATTGACTGGTTTGAAAATCTCAACACCGATGGATTCTTTCAACTGTCTCCCGACAATTCTGGTCCGTTGCTTCTGATCTTTTGTTCTTATCTCAAATAATTTAATTTAATTTTCCATCTTTTCACTTCCATCACCAAAAACTGAAAAATACTTGTTCCGGAACAGTAAAGATAAAAGTCAAGTATTTTCCACGAAAGTTGACTTTCTAAATAATTTTGATAAAAGTTTAGGTCTATTTCATATCTATTTCTTTTTATTTTTCGTTTTTAAAAATTAAATAAAAGACCATTAATTTAACCTAAGTATTTATTTGTTTTGTTATAGGGTTGTTGAAAACATTTTTTTAAAATTTAGTTTAAAATTAAAAAATAGTTTTTTTAATTTAATTAAAAGTTTAAATATTTTTTTGAGTTGATTAAAAAATTATATATATGTTCAAGAGAAGTAAGAAAATTAACTAATGAAATGGTAAAAGAAAAAGTTGAATCGAGGGTCATAAAATACAAACTTTTTCACTTTTTGAACAATTACTGAATATTTCATATAATTGTGGTTAGTATAAACTACTGAAATCCCTCAAACCTTCAATTTTGTGTAGAAGATGAGGACATGGATCAGCCTCCTCCGGAGTTCCAAAACGAGCCGCCGGAGCGGCCTCCGAGGCGACCCTCTCTTGCCGCACAGGTTTGTTTTCACTTTCTTAATTATCTACAAAAATCTTTCAAATTCTAAAAATTTAAGGCGCCACAGATTTTATTATTATTTTTTGTTATTATAATATTAACAACAACACAGAGGGCGAGAACGGGAAGAATGACGGTGAACGATGTGTGGCAATATCTTCATCTGCCCATATCGGAGGCTTCGAAGAAACTCAACGTTTGCAACACTGTGTTGAAGAAGATTTGCCGCCGGAGCGGTCTCAGCCGGTGGCCTTACAGAAAGGTGGCGTTATTTATTTATGTTATTTCAGAAATTGAAAATTTGTGTGTTTAATTATTTATAATGGTACGGTGCAGATACGGAGTTACGAGAGGCGAATAGCGGCGCTGAGAGCGACGATGAATTCAAGCTATGGAGATACGAGGGCCCGAGCAGAGGCTGAAATCGAAAGGGTTCAAAAAGAGCTCGCTGATTTTTGTGCTGGAATTAGAATATAAATCCCTTTTCTTTTTCTTTTTTTTTTTTGGAATTATTTTGTAAGTTTTTGGAACTACACTCTTGAGTTGTGTATTTGAAGTATGATTTACTTTTTGACTCGCATATATTCATTCCACTGCCGCGGTTTTGTTAATTATTTCAATAATTTCTTATCTTCTGCCAATATTTAGATGCCTACAAGATTCGAGTTTGTTGGCTTAATTACTCCATATAAGGGCAAGTAGATGGCACAATTTGCTAACAGTACTGTATTTCTTAACACGTTAACTGCAATGTTTTTGGATTATGAATGAAACTAGAAAGTCTTTGATTATATGTCCACATCTCTTGCAAACAAGATTTATCTTAAAGTCTTTAAAACGTACGATCATGTGTGTAAGGCATGCATTTTTCCTCCTTTGTGCTCTTGCATCCTCGCCAGTCATGCCAAGAGTAGAGTATCAAACAACGACAAAGCATGAGAGGTAAAGAAACTTTATTAAAGCATCTTTGTTTAAGTTTTGAGAAAGACAGAAGAGGTCGTAGAGACATATCTTATCTTATCGTATTTCAAAAAATATAAAACATGTAATAGTTTTAGTGTTTCTCCGTTCAAACTAAATACGGGAGAAACAAAATTGATGAAACGGGAATTGATTTTTGTAATTGTAACTATTAAATGTTAATATTTTGCTTATTAATTCGCAAGAAGAAAATAGATATTAGACTTAATAGGACATGAGAATCGAAGAAGGATAACAATGAATACGATTGTACTGAAGGGCCTATACAAGGCCCAATAGTCTTGGGCTGCGGCCCAATACTCAAAACCTCACATTCTCTGGTAAAATGAAAATGGCGGCAAACTGGCGGGGTCCACCCACCAGCTCAGCTTCAGATCATATTTCTGGGACCTCATCTCATCCCTCCAGTTCAATCACCATTTACCGCTTCTTTGGTTTTAGGGCTCCCATTTTCCTCTCTCTCTCGGCCCAAATTCTCTCTCCGGACTTTTCCCCATTTTATCGAATTCATTTAATTTTATTTTCCTTACCGATTCAAGTCCGACCTCTCTCTCTCTCTCTCTCTCTCTCTCTCCTCCTTCCACTGTCGTCTCAGAGGTCAAATATTTGGCTGTTTTTTTCCCTCCCTTTGCTTTCTCTTCTCCATTCTTCCCCGCTACGCTTCTCGATCTGTAGTTCATTCTTCTCTTTCTAAATTTCCCTCCCTCATCCGCGCAGTTCACTGCTCTCTGTATCGCACCTGTTGCGCTTCAACTTCTACTTTGAAGGTGAGAGTTGTAGCCTATGGACGGGGGTGCTCAGTACAATCCACGTACCGTGGAAGAGGTCTTTAGGGATTTCAAGGGCCGTAGAGCTGGTTTGATTAAGGCTCTCACTACTGGTAAACTTTTACTTCAAATTGCCTCGCGCTTTGCAGCCTTTTCGTGTTCTGAATTTCCCTTTTACTTCAATTTCATTAGATTTTTACGAGTTCTGCTTTCCTTGTTGCAGATGTCGAAGAGTTCTACCAGCAATGTGATCCGGGTTAGGTTTTATCGCTGCTTCTTAATGTTTTTGGATTCTAGAGTGCATTGTGGAGAAGAAATGTTGGAAGTGATGCATAGGAGAAGTAGTTCTCACTAGGAACCGAGATTTGACTGCTGCAAATTTCGACTAAAGTGCTAATATAATCGATCGATTTTGATATTGATGCGTCCGACTTGGTCGAGAATTTGCGTCGGCTTATTTTTTATTTTCATTTTTTGATAGTCTATAAGGTGTGCATGTGTAGGAAGTCTTGATATACTTCATAACAAGATCTTTTGATACATATATAGCAGTTAAGAAAGAAACAATAAGGACGTTATAAGCTGTTGCCTATTTCCAATGGAACTCTTGTTTGATTTGTAACTGAAGTTTTCTAAAATTTTACGGTTACAGAGAAAGAAAATCTCTGCCTTTACGGATTTCCTAGTGAGCAGTGGGAAGTCAATTTACCTGCGGAAGAGGTGCCTCCGGAGCTTCCAGAACCTGCACTGGGTATTAATTTTGCCAGAGACGGGATGCAAGAAAAGGATTGGCTATCCTTGGTTGCAGTGCATAGTGATGTTTGGCTGCTTTCTGTGGCATTTTATTTTGGAGCTAGGTTTGGATTTGATAAGACAGATAGGTATGTGTTCCTCTGACCTGGACTTTGCAGCTTTTTATTTATAATTCATGGTATGTTTTTCACTGGTTGTAGCGAAGGCCAGGGTATGAGCTTCAACTCTCTCTCTGTCTTTTAGTTGTCTTTGAGTAGACTTAATCTAATATTTCGTTCAATGCTCTCTCAATTCATGTGTTCTAAGGAAACTGTTTTTCTTTGCCCCTGGATTTCTTATTTTATTGGGTATTGGTGATAGGTAGAACGCAGCCCTATATATGCTTTCTATGGTCAAAAATTTAGAAATGGGAGTTTGTTGTGGTATGTTATATTCTGGCTATTGTTTTGGATGAAATTTGTATGGCTAATCTCTTTCTCATAGGTTTTTTTCTAACTGTTTACTTATTATTTTCTCGCATCATAAGTTTTATACTAGGAAGCACAAACAAGTTTGGGTACTGTTTCTGTGTCTTATTCTTGCTCGATATGTGTTTGGCTTTGGCACTTGTGGAACATATTGGACATGTGTTGGGTACTTGTCTGATGAGACACATTAACACTTGTTGAACACTTTTGATGGACAATATCGAGCCCTTCATTTCAAATGTTAAATTATTTATTTTTTATTGTCTGAAAATTAATCAAACATAAAATGAAATATGGGAGAAACATAACAAATTTGGATAGTAGAAAACACCAATGCTTTCTTTAAAAGCATTTAAGCATGTAAATATAGCCGATTGAATTTTTTATATAATTTTCTATTCAATGTTGAGTCACTTGGAAACATGTTTATTTGGCTCTAGATTCTTTTTCTACGAGGCATTGCATCATTAAAAATACGATATACATAATAAATTAACTTCCTGAAGCATCGTAAATTTTATTTCATCCCTTATTTTATTTTTTAAAAAACTCATCACTACTATATCTTCTTCTAAATAAAAATATCATAAACTGAAGCATGTTTTTAAAATGAAAAACATTGAATGTATGAGATGTTCTAACATTTTTTTTTTTATAAAATGTATACTGCATGCCCTTTCCATGCTCGTGTCCTGATTTTATATAAAATGATGTGTCACGTTGCCTATGGCATGCTGTAGCTTTTATATCCCTGATATACATGTGGGGTTATCGAAAGGATATGTTCTCTTGGCATGTTTTTCAAAGTTATGTATACTATGGATACTGATTCTATTTCATTGTTCTGGATATTTCATTACACATGTTTGACATAAGTTTAGTTTTGTAGAAATATAAATTATACCTGGCTGGATTTAATAATTTTATTTGAGAGTTGATGTCCAAGGATTTTTGAATTGCCCGCTAAGTTGCTAGGCCTTATCATCTTGGATTGAAGCTCTTTTTTATATGGATAATTTTGTTGACTCCTTTTGCTTGGCTGTATTTTTGAATGGCCTTTTGTATTCTTTTCCCTTTTCTAAGCTTGGTTTTCCATATCCTTTAAGGGCTTTCCTGGGTGCATTTTCCTAGAATGAGAAGAACAAAATTAAAAATTATGTTATAGAGTGAACAATAAATGCAGGTTTTTTTTTTCTCTCTTCTGAATTTTTATGTTTGTATTGGTCAGCTTAGGGGAGTTTAACAGTGATCTAATTTATAACATCAATGGTTACAATATCCTGTCTTAAATGCATACGTTTTACTTCTTTGTTTTGCTCCAGATTGAACAGTCAATGTAGGGGTGATAAGAATAAACGCACGTTGCTTTGTTGTGGTTTCTTCATAAGAAAAGAGTCCATGACAGAGAATTCACATTTCTGTTGCTTTTGTTGCAGGAAGCGTCTATTTAATATGATAAATGATCTTCCAACAATATTTGAAGTGGTGACAGGGACAGCCAAAAAACAAGTTAAGGATAAATCATCAGTTTCAAATCATAGCAGTAATAAATCTAAATCAAATCCAAAGGTTTGAAAGAATTTTTTTATCCTGCATTCTCCCTTTATTTTGTTTTTCTAGCCACTTCGGCTTAAAATTGTTATGAACACAGAGCAACTGGTGCTGATTTTTAATTGCTCTAATGGTTTGTCTGAGATGTAGCCTGTAGAAACCAGTCGACCTGCATACTATACTACAGCATTATTTGGTTACTGGTTATTTTTGCTTAATATGTGATGAGGCTACTTACTAAGCTTATTATTTGGCATATATTTTCATTATGCAGCGGAGTTCTGAACCTCAAGTAAAAAATGCGAAGGCAGTCCAATCTAAGGATGAGGACGAGGAAGGTTTGGAAGAGGAAGACGAGGAAGAACATGGAGAAACACTTTGCGGAGCTTGTGGAGAGAACTATGCATCAGATGAGTTCTGGATTTGCTGCGACATATGCGAGAAATGGTTCCATGGGAAGTGCGTCAAGATCACCCCGGCTAGGGCAGAGCATATTAAGCAGTATAAATGTCCATCTTGCAGCAACAAGAGAATGCGACCCTGATGTTTGCTTACTCAGAGAATGTGGTATTTATTAGCAGCAACTCTCCCTCCCTCCCCAAACTAAAGGAAAGGGGAAAAGTGGAAAAAGAACTAAGAGATTGTCAAATGCTGTTCTCCTTAGGTTGACCGCTAATTGTGTATTAGGATTAGTTTAAACTTTAAATTAGGACCACTTTGGTTAGGTTGGAAATCACATTCTATGTTATTTGTGGACAGACTCCTTTCTGTTTGTGTATTGTATGAACTCCATGTATTTTGTGTGTGGCATAATATGTTCTTGTCAAAGTTTGTATTCTGCTTCAGGATCGGGCCGATGGGATGCAGTTTTACGATCAAACGTGCAATTAGGAGAGGTTTGGTTGTCTTGGCGGGTTCATCAGTTGAAGGTTAGCCACCCTCTCATTCCATCTCTCATCTCTTAACTTAAAAGAGTGTAAAAACCCACCCAGGATTAGGGAATTAGGAGTCTCAGGATTAAGAATTAGGCTTAACATCCTGACTCAAATATATGTTTTAGATTAGTTTACTGTCTTGGGACCGCAATGATTATGTTGGTTAAGGCATATATCGATCAAGAGGCTAGATGTTTGAGTCACCTCGATAATAAATTACTAAATTGTTACGTACTAAAGTTCAACTACTAAATTATGAATAATTTGAAAGTATATGAACTAAATGATTACAAACTAAAGTAGTTTAGGGACCCCGTTGAACACTAGATTAATTATCCCAGACCCAGAAAATTCATCAAGGATCTGGAGCTGGAGCTGGGGTTCTTCGTCTACATAAACACGAGTAGTTAAGCTTCATCAACTGACGAGTAATGAGCTGGACAATCTTTCCCAACAGGAGAAGACACACCGCAGCAAAAACTGCAAACGCCACATAAATAAATCGCTGCGACACTCCAGGAGTGAAAAATCTTAGGGAGATTCCATAAGTAATCCCCATGGAACTCACCGCCACCCACATCTTCAGAATCAGAACCCACAGAAAAATGGGATTCCTATACGGCAATCCAGTGGACAGCAGAATAATCACAATCAGCGAAGCCGTGAATCCCGTCGTGTTCCACGAAACATACCGGTTGTAATTCAATGGGTCTTTTCCGGCCATTATCGACGTTCCGGCCGTGTGATTTTCCTTCCCCGACGCCTTGTCGTCTTGCCACACGCCGCCCGGCGGGCTCACTCCGGCCTGGAAAGCCATCGTTGCGATCAGCGATGCCACCACCATCAACGCCTCTCGCTTTCTCGTAAGCCAGCTTTCGTTCTCGTGACTGCTACTCTGTTTCGGTTTGATTTGATTTTCCGACTCTCCATTTTTGCTTCTGTTGGCTCCGGCGGATGTGAGGGCGGCGGCGATGTCCATGTCCTTTAAATCTCTGTGGCTTTGAGTCAGAATGTCCAGAGCTGTTAACCCATTTGAGTTTACAGCGTTTACTTCGATTCCAGTGTCGTTGATTAGATATCGCACTGTCTGTAAAGCAAAAGTGTTGAATTTTGCTTTAATTTCTTTTGTTTTTATGATATCAACAATTTGTTTAGGGTGCTTTTGGTAATCTCAAAACATAAAAAAGTTTTTTTTTAAATTTTATTTTCACTGTTTATATCATAGAATTTGTAAACCGTTTCCAAAAACGAGTCTCATACCAAACAGATCCATAAAATCCAAGACAACAAGAATTTTCATTACTAAACTAGAGCTAAGTTGAAACCTCTAATTGGTAAAAGATCTCAGATAGAAAAGATAAATAAAAATATACAATATACATAGATTACTTCCTTTACTCAAACCAACGTCAGACTTCCGCTTGGGACAATTTTGCTTCAATTTTACAATTTTGCAATTAATTACTCATTGGATTTGAATCAACGGCAATTAATTATATAAAATTGAACGATTATTACCTGGAGCTGTTTGATGGAGACCGCTAAATGGAGGACAGTGAAGCCATAATCATCCTTAGCATTAACGAAACTGTCATCGGCAGCTGCCACGGTTTCAACCAAAATCCTGAGAGCCTCCAGTTGGTTATATTTGACACACAAATGCAACACCGTTCCGCCGCCGTCCACGGCGGTTCGAGCGGCAGCCGGTCTGGCTCGGACCAGCTCGGCCAATACCGCAACCCGGCCTCTCATGGCCGCAACATGAACCGGGTTCCGCCCATCTCCATCGCTCAACAAGCACAAATTAGCATCCACCGCCACCAAACGCTTCACTATTTCCACAAACCCTTTGGCCGCCGCCAGGTGGAGAGCCGAAGATCCGCCGGAATCCAACTCTCCGGCCAGCTGAGGCCGCCGGTTCAGAAGCTCGTCCACAAAACTCACGTGCCCGAGAAGAGCAGCCACGTGCAGAGGAGTCTCAGTGAAATCGTTGACTCGGTCCAGTAACAGAGGATCTTGTTGGAGCAATTCTAACAAAATTGTTACGTTTCCTTCCATGGCGGCCTCTTGAAGCCTGCTACTTCTTTCGATTCCCGCCATTGATGGCTGGCGCTATCTCTCACCCTTTTCACAGCCTCTGGTAATGGTATAATTGCAGTAACGAGTCGTTTTTGGATATTTTTGCCAATATAATGAATCGAAAAAAAGAAGAGACAAATCCATTAAAACGATGTGTTTGATTATTCAAACTTGCAACATGGCCAACTCATGCCAAATATCTGTCATTACTTTGGATTAATTTGCGCAAGAACCCTTTGGCTCCAGAATTGACATGCCTCCTATCTATCGAGAGGGCTCATCATTCGGGTCACAGTTGGATTGTTAAAGATTTCGATTAAAAAAGAGAACCACCTAATAAAAATTTATAACAGACAATAGACTTAATTATGAGTATTAATATAGTATTCGAGTTCTAAAAGGTTCAAACTAGTATCAGAATTTTTTATGGACCAAAAAATTCATGATCTTGAGAAGGACATGTTATCCATTTGAAAATATATGAATTAAATTGTTACTTTAGTAGAAGTATGGACAAAAAATAATAACTCTTTTGACTCATCCATCCTAACCRGATCTCATTTAGATGGGATGTTCAGCTATTATAAATCACTCCTTACTTGAGTGAAATTGACATGTATCATATCTATCAACGGGACTCATGTATTATATCTCACGTTAAAATGAAAAAAGACCCAATAAAAATTTATAATAGACATATCTATAGTATTAATATGGTATTAGAGCTCTAAAACGTTCAAACTAGCATCCGAATTTTTGATAGGTCGAAGAGAGATATTATCAATTTGAAAGTAAAGTAACTCAATCGTTATTTTAGCGGAACAACAATGTGACTCTTTTGACTTATCCATCTAATGTGACCTTGTCCAAATGTACAAATATTATAAACCACTCGTTGTCTTTTAAACGTGAGAAAAAAAAAACTAATAATGAATTAATCCATATATTTTGTGGACGAGTGAATGCAAAGCATCCACAAAAATCAAATCACGAATAGAAGCCAAGGGAGAAACAACATACACAAATGTCCTTAACAACAATAAATTATCTGCTCTGATCATCAGAAATTATTGTTGATCTGGCAGGCATGTCAAGTAGGCCGGAGGAAGAAGCAGTAGCAGCAGGCAACGAAATTGAAACTGGAGACGATGATCGGAACTCTGCGGCGTCATCAGGGAACCGCTGGGCTCAGGGCGAACGAGAGTCGCTAATGGTAGTCGCAACGTTCGTGGCGGCGGCCGCTTTCCAAGCCGGAATCAACCCTCCCGGCGGCGTCTGGCAAGACGACGGCGACCCCAGATACGAGGCCGGCAAGTCCATCATGGCCGCCAAAAACGAATCTCTGTACGTCACTTTCATCGTCGGCGCAACGCTGTGCCTGGCGGCTGCGCTGACGCAACTTCTGATGTTGCTCAACGATTTCACGAAAAAGGCCCAACTCTCGGCTTCCAGGTACTTTCTCTACTTCACCATGGGCACCGCAATCACCGGCATCGCTTTGGCTTATGGGTCGTCGGTTAGAGCTTTGACGCCGCCGCCGCTCTTGACGCAGGTCCTCTCTGTCCTCGGGGTTAATCTTCTTGTCAGTCTTCTCGTACTCTTAATTTCATTCTACTTTCAGACGAAGAAGAAGAAAGTTTCCCGGTGAAAACAAAAAGGGCAGAAAATTATGATTAAAAGTTTAATTACGCCACGTTCTCTTTTAAGATTTTGGTGATATAAATGTAAAATTTAAAATTTTAAAGGCCTTGTAAAGATAATTGTTCTTTTTCTAATACAACATTTTCTCTTTTGGTTAATTATCCTCCCTTATATATTATAGGTCACCCATTTCCTTAATTTGTATTTTTTATAAATCGGCAAGATGAAGAAAAGATGTTATAGAAGCTTTGTCCTTGGCTTTATAAAGATTATTATGAACTCATTAAATGACTCGATTCTCTCGCTAAGTATCTGGATGTCAAATAATGATCACTTAACTTAAGCACTCCAACCATAGATACTTAAACGAATCACGAAATTTGCTTCTATTTTAATCTATTAAAAGACTCAATAAATCACTTTAAAAAGGGTCAGCAAGAAAAGAAAATTGGGCTTTCATGTTTTCTGCGACCCCATTTTTAATACTTCTTTTTTTTTTTTCTCCATTTATTTTGGCTCCAATTCCCTGCATTTTATTCCTTAATAATTCCATATGCCATCTATTCAGTCTATATTGTATATAATAATGTGTTAAAACTTTGTAATAGAGACTAAAATGACAAACTTTTAAAATTTGACAAAAAAAAAAGATAGGAGATGAATGACACAAATCAAATCGTACATCACTTTACTATATAACTATATATTACCAGAAGGTAAAATTAATAAGCTGTCAATTTTCGATGGCAGTGAGGACAAAATGCAATAAGGAGCTAAATATTTCCTTTCCAAAAATCCTTTGGCGCCCACAGTTCAATTTAAGTTGCTGTTTCTTAGCAAGTTTCCTTAAAAGAAAAAAAAAAAAGTTTTTGATCTCTGATCTCTACGTATATACATAAAACTTGGTGGATAAGTTTGGGCCATTGCGAACTGAACATTAGTACGGCCAATCGCAGGAATGACGAAAATATTAGATTATAGTAAAATTGACCAATTGATTTTTTCTCTAGGAATACATAATTTTATTTAACAAATTTATCCCCGACACAAAATATATAATTTATAAATAAAAAATTACGAAGAATAATTGTATGAAGATGAAGATCTAAATTCAAAATTAAATAAATTAGTAGCTTATTTGAATTTGATATTTTGTAGAAGAAAAAAAAAAATTAAAGAAACCACTTGGTCTCATTTCTATTATAAAAACTACAATAGAGATGGGAGGTTAATTCAACCTTCAAAAGTCGTCGAAATTTATTTTTCAAATGGTAAGTTAACCTTCCAAAAGTTTCAAGTCTTCGATAATTGTTAAATTAGTTGGCGATAATTTGTTAGTTTCAAATACCTTTCTACCTTTCTTTTGAAAGGTTTTATCAAATTCCAACGATCATAATCACATTCTCAATCATTTTTAAACCTGCAAAAAAAAAGGTTATTAATTGACATTTGTAAATCTTCCACAAAAAACATCAGGTAGAATTTAATAGCATTTAAAATTCATTGTTCAAGAGATAAATTCATTCAAATAAAATAACAATTACAAGGAATAAAACCAAACTCATCAACTATACGTGCATGAAAGAATGCTCATATATAGAATTGTTTATCTATATGAAAGTAACAGGTTGTTTCTTTTATGGGGTTTTAAAAGAACTAAAGTCTTTTTAATGACTAGGTGTCTCGGAGGTTACTATTTTATATTTTTTTCGATGGTTTTTAATAACCTTCGATGAGACTGTATTTTCCTTTCGATAAGAATTTTTAAATATATATCTATTTCAGAGGTTACTAAAATCTCCGATAAAAAAAAAAAGAATTGTTTTTAAAGGTTATATAAATACCTTTGATAAAAGATAATACATTTTTCTCTAATAATATCTATACATAAAAGGAAGGACGAAAATCTACTTTCGAACGGGATAAACGGAAACGGGTGATGGAGAAAAATGGAACCAGCCGAAGAGGAAGGTAGATAGAGACAGACGATCGGAGGAAGAACGAACGACCGGAGGAAGAAAAACGGACGGTGAAGAAGAAAAGGGTTTCGAAAATTTAAATTGCAACTTTCCAATTTACCATTTCTAGATTTATAAAATTATTTAATATTGGGTGGATGCTTAGAATGATATACTAGTAATTTGTGTTATGGGTACCATCTTAATTAGTACTATTTTAGTACAAAAGTTTAAATTTTATATATTTAAATCTTTTTATGTAATTATGATTCCTAAATAGACTATCAATGTATTTAATCCCAATAAGTAATATGGTTGAGACAGAAAGAACCAAAGTCCAACCCCTACCCACACACACCAATTTATATGTAATGAATATAAAAGGACAGTTCCGTTAAAGTAATAAAAGTTTCAAAACGAACGATTGCTACGAGAATAACAAAAACAATCTACATGTCTGTTCTGTTCAATTTGTTAAGATATATATCATGGCTTCGAATTCTCATCCCTTTCACACATGACTAGAAAAACAAAAACAATCCACGGAGGAGTAGAAACAATCACAGCTATATAGAAGCAAGACGATACTAAATCTATCTAATTAAACAAATACAACCAATAATAAATGTGCAATTAAAATAATAAATTAGACAAATGAGGTCGGTCTTAAGGCAATACAAGAAACTCAGTCTTTTTGGAGAGGACTGAGAAGCTCTCCTGCCCTAACATCTTATATAATATAGACACAAATCAAGATATGAAAAATAAAAGCATATCACATGCTTTCTAAATTATATCATCAAAGCCCATATAAACTACAAAAAGACAAAAGGTGTCCCTTTTGGACAAACAAAACTCAAATGTAAATACACAAAACACAATACTCTAATTCAATAAATACAATTCTACCTTCCCTAAGAAGAGTCTAATGAATCAGAAAACATAACATATTGTATAATACATATACAAATGTAATGTTAAACAACAACCAACGGTCAGAAACAACGACCAACATAACAAACAACAAACAACTGCCACAAGAACAATCAATAGTAATGTGTTGATAGAGAAAATGATGCAACTGAAATGTACACGCAAAAAAGAGGGAAAGAAAGTTCTCAACGTCAATGTTAATATATTTTCAAACCTTTAAATCAACCAATACAATCTATTTTACGAGTTAGAAAATGCAGAGAAAAAAGTTAGCTAAATTGAAGGTCCAACAGAGATTCAACAAACAATATTCCAAGAATGACTAAAACTTGAATGAAACAGGATTCAATAGCTTTGTTGGAAAACACCTTGACCTATAAATCACATAATTTTCAAAACCAATCAAACTATGCAACAACGGACAGCATTGATGAGAAAAGCACATATTCAGTAAAACCCAAGCAAGGTTATCAGACAAAATAGAGCTACATCTACTTCTTACTCAATATCTAACACCTTATACAAAACATTTAGAGAAATAACAATGTAATATTATGAAAAAAAACATTGCTCAAAACAACACCGGAACAACAACAACCAAAGGTCATAACCAATAACAATGACCAAAACAATAAACAACAAACAACCACCACAAAAACAATCAATAGTAATGTATTGAAAGAGAAAATGCAGCAGAAAATCCAATACTCCCTATAAGAATGGACATCTTGAACAAAAGAGGATTCAATAGCTTGACAAGACACCTTGATCAAGAGAACCCGCTATCTAAGCCGTCAATAAACCAGCCACATGGAGAAAGAAAGAGAGAGGAGATATACTAGAACAATAAATGGAGAAAACTCCATGTATTTCTCATCCACAAGCAAAAATAAAAGCTTTGTATAAATAAGCAAATCGTAAATAATAATCCTAACCAACTCCAAGATAATTCTAACCAAAACAAATCCTCCAAACAAGTAACATTGAAACACACAATACTCCAATAATAATAAGAAGGGATGGAGAGAGAATGAGGAAAGGAGAGAGGAAAAGGAGGAGAGGGAGAGGGAAAAAGAAGGGAGATAGGGCACAGGGAAAAAGAATGGGGAAACAAGAGAGGGAGAAAAGAAAGGAAAGGAGGGAGGAAGAAAGAGAGAGTGGGCGAGAGAAGGGAGGATTAAGGAAGAATAATGAGAAAGAGGGGGAGAGAAAATGAGGTAGGGGACAGATAATACACAAAGGGCAAGTGCGCCCACCAAATAAAAATAAAGGTTTAGAATGAGAATTTTTGGACAGAAATCCATTACCACAATAACCAGAAACTTGAACAGTTGAACAAATATTGCATAAAAATAATTTGATGCTTGCAAAGTCCAGTCTATTTCTGATGGACTTGGAGTTTAGGGTTTGAGAACATAATTGTCCTTGCTATCGTGAACATCTGGCAGTCTTAGTTTTATTGTGTGAAATCAATTAAAGCATGAAAAAAAATGATAAGAAATAGAACAAGGAGAAACTCCAGCAAAAAAATAAAAGGAAAAAGGGAGAGAGAAAAAAACTCAGAACAAGGCTTGGCACTCTAAGAGATTAGTTGTGATTTGTGTAGGTAGTGTAGTTACAGGGAAAAAAAACATGAAACTTCATTGGAAAATATTAAACGTGATTAAATCACCAATAAACTCAAAAGCTTAAGCTTATGAGTTAGGGTAAATTTAATCGATTATATGATATCTAACACTCCCCTTCACTTGTGGGCTTGAAAATTTGCACAAGTGAAAATAAATATTAAATAGGGAGGAAATGACAATACAAGAGTTCAAACACAAGACCTCATACTCTAATATCATATTAAACATGATTAAATCACCAATCAATCTAAAAGCTTATGCATATGGGTTAGGTAAAATTTAATCATTCATAGGATATCTAACAAAAAATTATAAGAGACATTCTTCAATTCAATAATAAGTGGAAACAATTTGTTGGAAAGGAGCTGGCCGACCCTTCTACTGATCTAACATGCTAAGAACACTTCCCATGAAAATATAACTAGGGCATACGATGTTATGAAGCGAGAACTTAATTTTACATCTAAGTTTAACAATTCATTCATGGAGAAACTCCAGCAAAATAATAATAATAATAATAAACAAATAAATAAAAGGAGAGAGAATAAAAAAAACCTCAGGAACAAGGCCCAGCAAACCTATGAGATTAGTTGTGATTTGTATAGGTAGTGTAGTTACAAAAAAAAAAACATGAAAGTTTATTGGAAAGTAAAACTAGGTGCTACTAGTATTCCCCATGCTAAACATAATATTTCTAAACATAAATTATGTAAAATGTTCATGCATGCCTGAGTTTGAGAGTCAACCAAGCCTGCAAGGGGATCAAAACAAGGTTTTGGCCCCCTTGATCTGAGTAATATCACTTTTTCAACTTTAAAGAAATTTATTCATATCATAATATTTCAGATTCCAGTGAGTGAATAACAAATATATTCTGCAAAAAAAAAAATGACAAATTCTCTAAATACAAAAAGTAGAACAGTTGAATATATGTTATGGGTGTTGCCATAAAGCAATATGTACAAAACCTTTAAAGGAAAATAAGTTTTAGAGGGGGACAAAATTTAGAGAGAAATGTATGTTTTGCCATCAAACTCCTGGGCTCTGTTTGAGAAAGGAGTAGAAATCACCCCATAATATTAGGAAATTGAAGACATTTAAAACAGTACACAGGAGCTCCATATAAACAAGAAGAAAATAAGATTCACTTCATGTAAACTTACCATTAGGAAACGTGTGATGTCTGCCCATTGGCAACTGTAGGGTAAAGCAACATAAGATATGCACCTAATACTAGGAATAGAAAGGAATAGAAACCACCCCATAATACTAGGAGATCGAAAACATTGAAGAATGCACACAGGAACTCAAAATATGAACATGAAGAAAATAAGATTCACTCCATGTAAACTTACCATTAGGAAACTTGTGATGTCCATTGGCAACTGCCGAGTAAAGCAACATAAGGTATGCACCTAATACTAGGAATAGAAAGGAATGGAAACCACCCCATAATATTAGGAGATTGAAGACATTGAAGACAGTATACAGGAGCAAAATATGAACAAGAAGAAAATAAGATTCACTTAATGTAAACTTACCATTAGGAAACTTGTGATGCCTGCCTATTGGCAACTATAGAATAAAGCAACATTAGATAGGCACCTACCTGTCGTACTGCAAAATATAATGGAACTCTTCAATAGTGGACTCAAAAAGTGCTTTGTTCCCAATTGAAAAGACAATTTGATGAACTTTTGCAACATGAAAGAAAAAATAATTAAGCTAGAAAGAAAATACATGTTCCACTGAGTTTTAGAAGCTATTTTCACGAGGCTAGAAAAAAGTTACTGAACAGTCACCACTTTTAATTACCGAAAAAGAGCAAGCTGGGTTTTACTTTTGTCATGACTTCATTAAACAAACACTTTTGATCAATATAATGCAATGATTAACAAAAACTTCCGGTAAACAATCCATTTTTTTAAATGCAATGAAATCCTTATTTCTGAGGACAATAAAATTCACTTAATCTAAACATACCATGTGATGCCCCACATTCCCAGATCAATGAAGGGAGAAACATAAGATATACTCCTAAGGGTTGACAGAATAGAACTCTTCAACAATGGAGAAAGACAATGCTTTGTTTCTCAATAGAAAAAAGGGTTCAACGAAATTTTGAAATGTGACAGAAAAGATGTTGATAACTACCCACTAAACACCTCATAGAATTGTCGTCCTTGACATGCAACCTGCAATGTGGTTCTCCATACTACAAA